TATATTGTTTAGTCTTTTCTATTCACTAACAAAAAGAGTCTCAGATCTCAAAAAGAGATCAGATAAAATTTTTTTGTGAAAGTTCAGCTTCAGGGCCCAGAATAATTTTTCCCCCTTCCCTATATTAGGGCTGTGTCACAGCAGATTGTGCTTATTTGCAGTGCCCCATTACTTTGCTCTTAAAGGGTTAGTTCACCCAAAAATGAAAATTCTGTCAGTATACTCACCCTCATGTTGTTCCAACCCCGTAAGACCTTCGTTCATCTTCGGAACACGAATTAAGATATTTTTGATGAAATCTGAGAGCTGGATCACTCCTCCATACTAGTCCATGGGCTTCTTCAGGGATTGAACTTGCCGGCCTCGAAAAGTTATTAAAGACATCGTTAAAATAGTCCAAGTGACTACAGTGGCTCAATCTTAAGTTTATCAAGCGACGAGAATACTTTTTGTGCGCAAAACCCCCAAAAATAACGACTTTATTTCAATTATTCATTTCCTTCTCTGTGGGCCTCGAGTCAGTTCACTAGTGTAATAGCGTAAGCTTCTGTTGTTGTACGTCACACGCATCACGCACATGACCAGCGTCGGCCAATAGTGAGCCTACGTGTGACGTAGCTCTACGGAATCACTCTACGTTAACTGACTAGAGGCCCAAAGAGAAGGAAATGAATAGTTGAAATAAAGTCGTTATTTTTGTTTGTTTTTGCTCACAAAAAGTATTCTCGTCGCTTGAAGTCCCTGTTGTATGTAATACTAACTTGCTTAGTTGGGGACACTTAATATTCAACATTATTTTTTGAATTTAAGTTTTTTTTATTGCTTCTTTTGGAAGGTTGATAGGTGACAGTACAACAACATTACGATAAAAAAAAGGGTTACATGTTCTTACAGGCACATTTTGATCATGAAATAAAATACCATACAAGACAAAACAAAACACACAGTGGTTCTATTCATTTTGAGACCTTACTGTAATATGTGTCCAGAACTCTTCCCAAGGAGACAACCCCTCCTTTCTGACATCATTTACTAGGTTGAGCATAGATTCACAAGATGCAATTTCTACCATTGCTCTGGCCCACTCTTTCAATTCTGGGGCTTTCATTGTCTTGCAGTGTCTCAAATAATCCTACTAGCCTTTGTAATACATACCATAATAACAGAAAATACACGCTTTGAAGCATTAGGTTTAGTTTAAGAGTTAAAGATATTTTGGAGCCATGCCAGCAACTTAAAACATCCATAACTTGTTTCCAGAATGGTTTATCAAGACTAGGCTACATTCCAAAATACAGTGTAAAAGGGTACCGGTTTCCAGCTGTCATTTCCAACATAAATTGTCTTTCATCAGTTTCATACTGAAAACTGATGAAAACACTCTTACCGGAGTGTGGTATATCTGTGGAGAATCTTATATTGAGTGAACTCCCCCCTTGCTGCTTTTATATATTCACCACACCCCACCAAAATGCTTGACCATTTTTCTGAGTCAATTTCTACACCAATGTCCCTCTGCCATATGGTTCTTAAATTTCCCAAGTCACTGCTCCTGAAGGAGTTTACCATTTTTTATAATTGTGAGGATTTACTAGATTCTTTTTTTTTTTTTAAGGTATCTTATAATAGGGTTGTCAACCACAGGGCCAATTTTAGACAATATACAATAACGCAGCTGTAAAAACTTCCAAAAGTTGTCTCTTCCTACAAGATTCTAACACTTAATTACATTTTTGTATGACCAGGCATCTTTTTACCAATTTGAATTGCTGGGTTATACCATAATGAAGAATATTTCTGTAAATTGTGAGATAATTTGAAAATTTTGTGATACTACTCCATTGGTTGCCTTGGGTTCTTTGTATAGTATTTGAACCCATGACATAAAGTTTTGCCCAAAGCCAAAATGTGACAAGGTAGCGAACAGAAATTGCCGCTCCACCTTGTCAAAGTATTTCTCTGCGTCGAGCGAAATAGCTGTGATTGGAATATTTTTGGATTGGCACATCCAAATAAGATGGAACAATAATCTTACATTCTCAGATGAAACTCTATTATTCATAAAACCCACTTGGTTGGGGTGAATAATGTTTGGTAGCACCCTTTGCAGGCGATTGGCTAAAATGTGTGTAAAAATTTTCAGATCAACATTTAACAAATGGATAGGTCTTATTCAACATTATTGATCAGCCTGCATTGGCACTGCATTCACCATAACTGAACTGAGCTGGACGATGACATCACTGTTTTCTCCAGAGCTGTTGTATAGACCTTATGCGCCTGAGAAACAAGCGCGCAGACAATATTCTTTAGAATATCGCTCTGTGTATTTCAATGGCATCGCTGTCGAGGAGTAATTAATTGGTGAAGTGGATTTACTTATTGTAAAGTTAACGAAAGTTATCAAGAGCATTGTAATGTTTAAAGCAGATGTCTTAACAAATGTCAGTAGACCGGGAAGATTTTGAAACGAGCTGTTCATTCATAAATACGTAAGATCGCAGTGAAAATATAGTCTGGGTTTCCCCATACTGCCTTTGCGCAGCGCGATTTTATTCACGCTGCTAGGCAGTCTGGATACCATGGACCAAATTTTCTCCTCAGCGAGGAGACCAATCACAGAACGGGGAGGGAGCAGCAAGACGATGACGACGTCTATGCGACACACTGAAGCAGTTTGTTTATACCTATGGATCAAACATCGTTTTTTTCCTCGTCTAATTTCTTTCGCTTGTTGTGGCAAAAATTCATCTCAAACAAACATCACTGCGTAAGAGGCACTCAGAGTCAAATTATATAAAATAGAAGTATTTATTCTTGCAAGAATAGGAGCAGTCTAATACACAGTTGTTACCCTGTGCAGAAGAGTGACACACCCCCAGACAGACTGAACTAGCTTTTATCTTAGTTTCAAGGCCTTCTTCCCCCCAGAGCCTTCCTCCCAGTAGTTTTCCATAGACGTCACTAGTTGGCCCACTAAGCTCCCCTGCACTAAGTGGCCTTCTGACATCTAGGTCAGAGGTCCTTGTTCGTCTGTTCTCTAGAGTGTCTCCCTCTTCTGCCTCCCCAGGTACATAAACAGAATCCTCTCTCACTACACGTGAGAGACACACATGTGACATTCTTTGAATCATCTATATTTAACTAAAGATCAATGAATATCATTAAAATTGCCACCACACGCTCTGCATACTTCATCTGGTATAATTGAAACGATTGGCTATGAGCTACGTACAGGCGCACATTTGATAGACATTTGTAGCACCCAATAAACGGCTCTGGGCATTCGTAAACCACGCCTCAAATACGAGAAAATGAACGTGGTTCCCAGACCACGTCTCAATGTCAATGAGACGTGGTCTGACGTTAGCCAGGCTAGTGAAAATACAAACTGGAAGACAAAAGACAACGAGCGCAGCGCTGTAAAGGGGCGGTGCTACATAAGGTCTATAGAAGGTTTTCACCGACGTCACGTTCTGAGCGGTAACCTGGATGCTCGGCCATTATGGAGGCACTCGGATGTAAACAACAGCATGGATTGCACTGTTTATGTACTGAACACATTGTTACACTAAAAAAACACGGAAAAAACACGTGGTAGGTGCGAAATCATATAGAGATGGACTTAGTAAGCAGGAGAGAGCGCAAAATTTTGACAAACTAAAGTTAATATGTGGTAAAGGTCCGAACGAGCTAGCTTCTCTAGCCCGTACTTCAATTCTTTCTTCTATTTCTTATCCCGACATAGGCTACGTTCAGATTGTCAGTCCAAAAAAGCACGTGAAATCCATTTCAAGCAACATCCATATGTGGTTTGAAATCCTATTCACATATCAGGACATCGGCTTCAGTCTGAACGATCGGATTTCGGGTGGTATGTGACTCTCACGCCACGTAAAATGTAAACGTCAGACGTTGATAGAGGAAACATGCTGCAAGTCGCTGCCGAAACAATGCTGTGTTGTTGCAAAGTGCCGGACGAGCAGAAAATTATTATTTCTGAAACATATTTTGAAACCGGCGTAGACAAGAGCACGTAAAAAAAGCTGTACATAACAGCCTCCTACAGTTCTGCAGCTCAATACGCAGTATAGTCCTGCGCGGTGGCTACACATTTCCATGTTGTAAAATTTAAATAAGACAACATCTCTATTGCAAATGCAAACCCCTCCATCAACGCAATGTCAGTGCCATATTGCCCAAGAGCTGCATGGACACACAAATCGGATCTGAACAGTTGCGATACACAGTGTGGACATAATTTTAGATCAGATTCCAATCGGATACAAAGATAATCGGATTTGGATTGACAGTGTGAATGTAGCCATAGTTAACTACGTCAACATTTTAGCCAGTCAACGCTTCATTTACACATGTGGTTGATGAGCTGATGCTGTGCCTCTCTCAACCACAAACGCCTTCTTTCATCAGTTTTTTGCACTCTTCTCTTTAACTTTTGGCAGTCTATAGAATTCGAAATGTTTTTTCCCGATGCGACCGATTAGTACAGACCAAAACTAGACCATTTTTCAGCAGCAATAATCAGCCAAATTTGCGAGTCCGTTCAGTTCAGTGGCATTGTTTATGTTCAGTGCCTCCAAAATGGCCGACTTCCGGATTGATGACGCGTCGTGAAAACCCTCTATAGATAAATTAACTAAATGAATAACTTTTTTACAACAGAAATGAACCATCACTGAACTTACTTAAGCTGGACTATGACACTTCTTCTAGATTTGCTGGACAGCCAAAACAAACTTTGTTGCATTATACAAATAAAGGTGACTTGACTTATAATATGGGTAAAAAAAATGTTTTTACTCTGGATGTCCATGTGTGATGTCTGTACTACAACGGAAGCTATTTGTGTTCATGGATCCATTGTGGAGAAACAGAAAGTGTTATCAAGCATCCAGAGCCCCACCAAGCAAGCGTAGATCTCTCTGGACACTTAAATTATGGTTCTATCAGTACATTTTGACATGAGAGAGCAACTCCCCATATCTGAACACGACAACATCCTCAAGTGGACTAATGCTTTTCTACCACAGGTTCTCACTAGAACCCAGAGAACTTAAAGCAGGAACTTTTTGATTCCTTGTAAACTGAAGGAAAAAAAGTGCTGAAGAAGAGGAGGAGACGGGAGAGGAGGAGGAGGAGGGAGAGGTGTGGGACCTCCTGTATGTTAAGTGGAATTCAAGTCCAGGGTGCTGAGCAGGCAGAGTGGTGGGGCACTGGCTCCTTGACGGAACCGACCAGACTCAGCAGACACCAAGCAAGATAGGCACGTAAGACAAATCTTCTCCAAATCTGTCCCTCGGTGGCTGTCTTTGTCTATATCTGTTTGTGTTTTTCTTTTTCTTCAGCTCTCCACTGATAAATATTATTCTACTGTTATCTAATGTTATTTAATTAAAGACATTTTTAATAATTTGTAATTTAATGCATTATATACTGAACCTTACATACCTCTAATAGAGTGAATATTATTATAACAATATAAAATATAAATTTAAAATATATTTGAAACTTGATAATTTGGCTGGTTTGTAAGGAACTTGCTTGCATGAGCATGTGACTGTTAAAGTGCCTGGACAGAAATAACCAACCAATTCTGGAATAGGGTTTTCACACTGGCCTTCCCTTGCTATACTAGGCAATGTATCGTCTGATTATGCTGATATTCTATAAACTTACATAAATTTCCTCACAGACTGAAACACTCAAGGATTGTTCGGTTTTGCTGTTGGATGTGGAGAGCTGTCTAATATGCAATTAGAAGACTGCAGAAAGTGAATTTAGATTAATTTAGATTTTTTTTCTTCTTAAATTGATAATCATTTGTCAATACTGTTAATGGTTTGGGATTGATGAAGCAAGCCATATGCTTAAACAGCATTTGAAAGCTTCTTAAATAATAGTGCAATAGTGCAGTTGTCCTCAAGCCACTGGTTTGATAGGCACCAGCATGTGTCAGTAGAGATATGTCATACGACCCCCCCCCCCCCCCCCCCTCCCTCCCTCTCTCTCTCTCTCTCTCTCTCTCTCTCTCTCTCTCTCTCTCTCTCTCTCTCTCTCTCTCTCTCTCTCTCTCTCTCTCTCTCTTTTTTAGGTGTTCAAGCACGAAGTGCTGAAAACCTATTGTATCTGTACTGATTTTTATTAGGTGTTCAAGCACGAAGTGCTGAAAACCTATTGTATTTGTACTGATTTTTATTATTAGGTGTTCAAGCACGAAGTGCTGAAAACCTATTGTATTTGTACTGATTTTTATTATTATTATTATTATTATTATTATTATTATTCTTCTGCCGTAAAACGCATCGTGCAGAACAAACCGTAAGTGCTGGAGCTCTGAAACTTTGTCAGAGGGTAGTACAAAAATCGAGGAGAGCCTCAGAAAGTATGACCCCGATTGGCCTATAGGTGGCGCTACAGCAATCAATTGCGCGAAACTGCTCATAACTCCTAAACCGTATGTCGTAGACTCAAGTGTCTTATATCATTGGAAAGCTGGAGGCCTGAAGAACAAAACGTATATCTCCGATTTCATTTCCGGTATGCAAATTTTTCCGCCATTTTGAATTTTGTCAAAAACCTACTTTTGCGAACTAGTCCCTGGTTTTTCGCCCGATCAAAACCAGACAAATGCATACATGTTCTCTGGAGTCTGAATATCAATAATCATTGAAAAAAAGTTGAATTTTCGATTCACGGTCGCTAGGGGGAGTAAAATGATCGTTGTGGGAGGAGCCTATTTTACTAATATGGCTATAACTCGAGAAGTAAATGAGATATCTTCACCAATCTTGGAACACATGTGTATGAGTTCAATCTGAGGTCACAGTAAAAAAATCGCGTCGACCTAACACTAGGTGGCGCTATAACACACAAAAAACCTAAATCGGGCTATGACCACCTGACCGTTAGTCCGATTGACTTAAAAATTGGTATGCAGTGTCTTGGTCCAAGGTGCCATGTATGTGTATGAGGAAATTGGCGTAACTCAAAAAACATGGCCGCCATCGGCCAATGAATTTGAGCACCTATTACACGAGGTTAACGGAGGCCAATCGGAACGAAACTCGACGGACATGTTTGACTCATGGCCCAAGAGGTCTGTAAGAGTTTTGAAAGAAATTGGCCACTAGTTGGCGCTAACGAGTTTTACGGCTCTGTAATCACGTGGTGTTGCACACATCCCGAAAATATGCATATCATTTGATAGATCTCCTCAGGATGAACAACTTTCCCTCTAGAACCATTGCTGTCAATCAAATCGTTCATTAAATATTCACGAATATGTTAAAAACCTACTTTTGCGAACTAGTCCCTGGATTTTTGCCCGATTGGAACCAGACCAGTCTAGGACAATTCTCTGGACTCTCTAGATCAATAATCATTGAAAAAAAGTTGAACTTTTGCATTTTTCGTATGGCTATAACAGGGTCATTTAGAAAAGGGGCGTGTCAAATACACACAAAAGCCTATAAATCATAAATAAAAACTCAGAACTAAACAAAAATTGGTGAGCATATGTGTCATAACATGGTGAAGAAGCATGCAAAGTTTCATGGAGATCGGACCATAGTTGGCGCTATAACTGTCAAAAAGCTTTAAAACCATACATTTCCTATGGCAAATTGCCTGTATTGGCTGTAAATGCTGATCTCTTAAATGAATGCTCAGATCTTCTTTAAAAAAGGTCAAGAACATGTGTAATATCACTCTGTACGGCATTGAAAAATTTCAGACAAATCAGACAAAATTTGCCTCTATAATTAATTGTCACAGGAAGCCTCAAAACGAAAGTAAAACATTGGGCCACGCCCCCCCAAGCACGAATTCACTCATAACTCGAAAACGGAAAGTCTCTGCCCGCTGAAATTTTGATGGTAAGGTCCTCTCGGGGATCTTGATCCAAATCTTTCGTCGCGGGGCTCGGGAGCGCCCCCCCGCGGATCGCTAATCTGTGAGAACCCCAACTTGAAACGGCTGTAACTCTTGATCCAGACCATCTAGATCCTTGTGGAAGAGCTTGTTGGAAAGGGCTCGTCCTCATCTAGCTTCGATTCGAGTTTGGTGCGATTTGGCCTGGGCATTCCCGAGATATAAGCCCACAAAGATATGCATTTAAACGGACATTACTCCCGACAGCAATCACTCAGCAACACGGGAATGGTCTTGTTCAAGAGGGCTCCTCTAACCCTATCTAAGTTCTGAGTTTCAGATTTTTTCACTTTCTCGTTCCCGAGATATAAGTAAAAAAAAAAAACGAATTTCCTGTCATTCATTTCAACCGTTTATGTAGGCTGTAAAACCGCTGTTGTCCACTAGAGGGAGCAACAGCATTAGATATTTTTAATCTTTTTTAACCAGTTTTCAGCAATGGCTAACAAACAAATGCTTATAATATAATATTAAATAATGATTTATTAGAAAGTTTAATATTTTTACATCACAAATAAATATCTGAAATGCTTAAGGACCACAAAAAGAGATTTTCACAATATCATAACCCACAATTGTGTGTTTGTGTGTGTGTGTAAGCATGCATAATGGTATTCACATTGAAAGACTGGTTTGCTTTAGTGCACAATACTCAGGGTTTCTGCAGGGTTTAGTCAGTCAAATTTAAGACCTTTTAAGACCTTTTTATGACCAATATTATTTAAATTTATGACCTACTCGAATTACGAAAAATAACTTCCTTTCAAAAGTCTTTTTTTATTGACTTTCATTAAAAGTAATAAGTTTAATTATTTAAAGGTTCCATTTTCTTAAGAGTAACAAACTGAAGGCTCCCTTTTCCTAAGTATCAATAACACAGGAACAACACAACACTTATCACGATAATATCAGTCAATATCGATAATTATGACGATAAATGTCAATTCTTTATTTCTTTGAACTTTGAAGGCAGATTTTTGTTCCTAACTGAAAGTTGTAGAAACCAGAGCGTTAATTGTGGTTTTAAACTACTCTTTATTGTCAAAACATATCATGACAAACACTTGCCAAACAGGTGAACATTTCACAAATCTGAGGTAGAACATTCAAACATTTGTATTTTTTCCTTAACAAAAATAATATCTTTATTTCAAAATTAATTTCTTAGTTTCTGCATGTGCTAATGGGGGATATTGTTTCAAGTCTTGAAACAGGTTTGTGTTGCCTGGCTTTGATGGCACGTATCTTTATGAAATGTATGAAAAACAGTAGGCTATAGCCTAAATACATAAATACTGTAATTATATTCCATTAGTCCTTTAATACATTGTCTACATTAATAATATAATACAATTCAATATGTATCCCACATTTCATGGTGCAGTTAATATTACTAGGCTAACGTTACAGTAAAACCATGGTAAAGGATGTAAATGTGTAGATGGAAAAGCTTTCTGACTGTATAGTTGCGCACAGTGTTTCTCCTGTTCGTCAGCGCTGTTTCATCTGCCTTTAAACTGGTTTAAATCACTGAGACATTTGTGTTCTTCGCTGAATTCAAGTGCTTCTCACTGGATCTCGTGATCGAGACTGATCAAAGTTAACCATAGACAGTAAAAGAACGTGTCTGCTCTAGTGAGCTTGATCGCGCTACGCTGCCGTTTGGACTTTGAGCCGAGCGGATAAACGCTCCGTGAGGCGCGCGCGGTTCAAATGAGTTTCGTTCCGCTTTTGGCGCATAAACATGATCTAACATTTATCGAACTCTTGATATCGTTTTATAGAGAAAACATTATATCGCGATAATGAATGAATGAGCATATCAATTTAAGATGTGGCTAAATGTAATTTATGACCTTGTATGGAAAAGCCGGACGTTTTTATGACTTTTTATGACCCCGCGGAAACCCTGATACTGATTAAACCAAGTAGTTCAAAATAAAAGTGGTACTATAGCAATAAGTGGTCTTCTACTACCCTCTGCTGGACATTATACTTATTAATAGTCTTTTCACATGTGCTTTTGCATTCATATATTCAGACACTAAAAAATAACCTTATGTGACAATTACTATAATAACACAATCATATTTTGTCTTTCAATTCACTTTACTGTTCTGAAGCTTCACATAATTGCTAACAACGTGGTAAATCATAGTAAATCATGCTACAATCCTGCTGAATCATTCTAGAATGTGGTATATCATGATAAATTATTGTGTAACATTCGGTCACAACAAGGTAACATCAAGGTAAACTAAGACAAACCATGGTAAACTGACTATTGTAGTACATTGAGAAATATGAATCCTGAAGGACAATTGCAGTAAACATTTCT